CCTTTCTCGGGATTGGCCTTTCCCGGGATCGGCCTTTCCCGGGATCGGCTGTTTCCAGGATCGGCCTTTCTCGGGATCGGCTGTTTCCAGGATCGGCCTTCCTCGGGATTGGCCTTTCCTGCCATCAACCATTCCTGGGATTGGTTTTTCCCAGTATTGGCCGTTCCTGGGATTGGTCATTCCCAGGATTGGCCGTTCCCGGCATCGGCCGTTCTTGGGATTGGCCTTTCTCGGGATCGGCCTTTCCCGGGATCGGCTGTTTCCAGGATCGGCCTTTCTCGGGATTAGCCTTTCCTGCCATCAGCCATTCCTGGGATTGGCCGTTTCTGGCATTGGCCGTTTCTGGCATTGGTCATTCCCAGGATTGGCCGTTCCCGGCATCGGCCGTTCTTGGGATTGGCCTTTTCTGGCCACGGCCCTGCCTGGGATCAGGGATTGGCCGTTCTTGGGATTGGCCTTTCCCGGGATCCGCCATTCCTGGGATTGGCTTTTCCCGGGATTGGTCATTCCTGCCATCGGCCGTTCTTGGGATTGGCCTTTCCCAGGATTGGTCTTTTCCAGGATCGGCCATTCCCAGGATTGGCCTTTATTGGCCTTTCCCGGTATCAACTTTTCCCAGGATTGCCATTCCTGGCATCAGCCATTCTTGGGATTGGCCTTTCCCAGGATTGGGCGTTCCTGGCATCGGCCATTCCCGGGATTGGCCTTTCCTGGTATCAGCCTTTCCCAGCATCAGCCGTTCCCAGGATTGGCTTTTCCCAGGATTGGCCTTTATTGCCCTTTCCCGGCATCAACCTTTCCCAGGATTGGCCGTTCCCGGCATCAGCCGTTCCCAGGATTGGCCTTTCCTGGAATCAGCAATTCCCAGGATTGGCCTTTCCCGGGATTGACCATTCCCAGGATTGGCCTCTCCTGGCATCGGCCTTTCCCAGGATTGGCTTTCCCGGGATTGCCCTTTCCAGGGACTGGCCTTTCCCGGCATAGACCTTTCTTGGGATTGGCCTTTCCCGCCATTGGTCATTCCCCGGAATGGCCTTTCCCAGGATCCCCCATTCCCGGGATTGGCTTTTCCCGGCATTCCCCTTTCCAGAGCCCGGCCTTTCCCGAGATCTTGATCATCCGCTCCCTTTCCATCACCTAGAGGCTTCTCACCTGGTTTCGGCATTTTCCACCGTCACCTTCTCCTCCAGCTCCTCTTCCGACGGAGACTCCGATGATCCCGGTGAGCTTCTCCCGCACGGAATTTCACGGCATTTTGGGCCCTTTTGCCCCTTTTCCCCCCTTTTCCGGTGGCTCCGCTTCCCTTGGGAAGGTCCCTGTCACCCCGCGGCGCCCTGGGGACCCCAAAACCACCCGGAATTCCCTTCTCCGGCTTTTTCCATGGCAGATGCTGCATGGATGGAGCAGCGGACGGAGCAGGACGACCGCGACTGCTGTCCCAGGGATGAGGTGGGAATTGTCCCCAATGTCACCTTGGTGGTGGCACCTCTTGGCCTTCCCGGTCCTTCCTCTTCCATGGATTTGGGATCCGTGGGATGTTCCCGGTGCCGACGGCTGTTCCCGTTCCCAGCTCCTCCCGGCAGCGGCCGCGCCGGAGATCATCCGCGCCGAGGGCA